TCAATGAACTACAAGTGCTGGCGAGGGTGTGGAGAAAGGGGAACCCTAGGACATTGATGGTGGGAATGCAGACTGGTGCAGCCACTATGAAAGCAGTATGGAGTTTCCTCAAAAGATTAAAAATTGGCCTGCCATTTCACCCAGTGATCCCACTTCTAGGAATATATACTAAGGAACCCCAAACACCAATCACAAAGAACTTATGCACCCCTATGTTCATAGCAGCGCAGTTCACAATAGTCAAGATCCGGAAACAGCCCAAGTGCCCGTCAGTAGATGAGTGGATAAAAAAGCTGTGGCNATGTTCATAGCAGCACAGTTTACAATAGCTAAGATCTGGAAACAGCCCAAGTGCCCATCAGTAGATGAGTGGATAAAAAAGCTGTGGCACATTTACACCATGGAATACTATGCAGCTGTGAAGAGGAAGGACCTTTTAGCCTTTGGCACAGCATAGAGGGAACTAGAAAGTATTATGCTAAGTGAAATAAGCCAGTCAGAGAAAGACAGGTACCACATGATCTCACTTATATGTGGAATATAATAAACAAATTAAACTGATGAACAAAGTGGACCCAGAGACATAGAAGCATTGAACAAACTGAGGGATCTCAGAGGGAAGGTGAGGAGGGGGTGCGGGTGGGGAGAGATTAATCAAAGAACTTTATATGTTTATAAGCATAACTCATGGACACAGACATTGGTGTGGAGAAGGCCTGTGGGTGGGATGGATGTGGGGTGGAGGGGATCAGTGAGGTTAAAAAGGGGACATCTGTAATAGTCTCAACAATAAAGATAAAGAAACATTAAAAATAATCATAATCTCTATATCAGCGATTTTCAACCTTAATCATCTCATGGCACACATGAACTAATTACTAAAATTCTGCAGCACACCAAAAAATATATCTTTGTCAATATGACAAAAAATAGGTATAATGTTGATTCATTCACACCAGGTGGCTATTGTTGCTTTGGCTGGTATCATTTTTTTATTTGACAATCTAAGGGAGAGGAGGTCAGTGCCCCCTAACTACATAGTCAGGTACTGCATGTTTTAAAATTTTTTGCAGCACACCAGTTGAAAATTGCTGCTTTATACTGAACTGACAGTGTCTTTACATTTTCTTTTGCAGGTCTCTTTTATTTCTACAGTGCTCACAACTGTGATTCTTGGAGTTGTAACAGCAAGGGTAATTTCACTGGGTCCACACATGTAAGTTTTGTTGCTATATTGGTTGATCTTTGATTTATAACCTTCACATAGATATCTATTTGACATAAATTCTGAAATGTAAAGTAATTGTGGTACCAAAGAGAAAATAATTACATTTAATTAGACACGCATGTTTACCTTGAATTCTGCATGGCTGATGAGAAGGGTGAGAAATAGGATCCAGGTAGAGCACACAGGAGGAAAAGTGGGAGATGGCAGAAATTTCTATATCTACCTCAGAGATGGATTTGTTCTTAACACAGTTTCTCCAATCTAGGCTGAAATGAGAAGAATAAAGAATATTTTGGATGCTTTTTGCCATCAAACAAAATGTAGTCAACATTGAAAGCCACCCTTAATTCTCTACTAAGATTATATGCTTTAATTATTTTGTGTTAAAATGCTTTGTCATTTCTGAACTGATAGTGAGAGATGATAGTGGCATTATTTGTGTTTAATGTTAATAGTTGGCCAAATAAAGTGTTGGCAACTTGGTACTGGTTTCCCAAATTTTATTCACTCATCCATGATATTTAAAGTATGGATACTGCTGATCTAAACTGCACAGTTTTTATTATTTGATTACAGAATAGATTCACCGGGTAAGGATTGAGTAGTTTATACCCACAGTCCCAAGAGAATGCTGGAATGAAACTAAATTGGCTTTAAATGCAAAATCATATTCCCATAATGCACAATAAATATTTGTTGAATAAATAGATAAATAATACATTATGGGGTTTTCATGAGACCTTAAATATTTTTTCTATCCCAAATAAGACAAAATAAAATTAATTTAAGACATAATGTCTAGGACAGTGCAAGGGACAGGCTGGGACTTCAATGAGTGTTATCTCTGAGAGAGAAAAGGGAGCCTGGTGAACAGCTGTAAATAATGTGGTACTCAAGGTAGCTTACTTTTTCCTATTGATTAACTGTTGTTCTGCAAAAATCACTTCATTTTTGACTATATGCTTTGTCAGGTAAACACCAAAAATCATGCCTCAAATTTATTTGGAAGAAAATATGAAATAGCTAGTCTAACTGCATTTGATATGGCCTTTTCTTTGTAAAAACACTTAATTTCTATTTTTACTTTTTAAATTAAATTAAACTTTTTTAAATCCTCACCTGAGGATATTTTTTCCATTGCTTTACAGAGAGTGGAAGGGAGAGAGAGAGAGAAACATCAATGAGAGAGACACACATCAATTGTATTGGTTGTCTCCCGCATTGTGCCCAACCTGGGATTGAGCCTGAAACCGAGCCAGTGCCCTTGGCTGGAATCAAACCTGGGACCCTTCAGTACAGGGGCCAGTGCTTTAACCACTGAGCTTAGCCAGCTAGGGCCAAACACTTAATTTTTAAAGGACTTAAATAAAAGAGAGAGGTATAATTATCCATGATGTTTGTATTAATGTTGTCTTCAAACAACTTAATCCCAGCTCATAGTTGTATTAGCTTGGATTGCTGGAACAAAATACTATAGGCGGGTGGCTTAAACCGCAGAAATTTATTTTCTCCTAGTTCTGGAGGCTGGCAGTGTGGTCTGATTCCTGTAAGAAATCACTTCCTGGTCTTCCTGCGGCAGAAAGTGACAGAGAGTAAGGTGTCTGCTCTCGTAAGGGCACTGATCCCATCAAGAGTGCCCAGCCCCCATGACCTCATCTAAACCTAATCATCTCCCAAAGTCCCCATCTCAAGATACCATCTCACTGGGGTTAGCATTTCAACATTGCTGAGGGACACAGTTCAGTCCATCACAATAGCGTTCTTGAAATGCACGTGGTTGACTTCAGTGTGACCACTTACCCTTTCATATAGTAAACTCCGAATGCCTATTGTTTCTAGCTATTTTGGTGTGCCCTGAGACAGAAAGAGCAGAGAGGCATAAGTCAGCTCCTGCTGCAAGTTGTTCACAATCAGATATGGAGAAGGGACATATTTTAAAAACAGAAAAAGAAAATGAAATGACAGTACAGTATGAGGAGTGCAATATAGAAGCATGAACAAGGGGCAGTGTCAGCACCGAAGAAAAGAGTGCTTAATAGTCTGTCTGAATCAGAGAGGGCTTCCTGGAGGAAGAGAAACATGATTTGTGTGTTTTGAAGGATGAATCTGAACTTTTCCAGATAGATAAGGGTGTAAAAAGCATTACAGGTCCAGGAAAAGTAAGCATAAAAACCCAAAAGCATATATTAAATTCTACTGACATTTACTTAGCATCTGTTATGTTGGTACTGTACTGAGTTCTGATTTTCAAAAGTTGAATTCACAGCAACAAAAAACTAGTAAATATACTGAACAGAATTCAATAAATAATAATTTTGGCTAAATTTTTAAATTGTATAAGACAGCTATTTTAATTGAAGTTTTATTATGAAAAGTGATTCTAGAGAATAAATCATAAGGTTATAATAAAAAGTTCTAGTGATTTGGTATAGCCTTATGATGCAATATTGAGAGAGAAAAAAACAAGCACTGAAAGGTTGGAGGTAAATAAATTATTCATTAATTGAGCTCCAGGAAAAGTTTAATGCAAAGATTTTTCAACTCTGCCTTCCCATTAGAATTACCTGAGTAGCTTTTCAAAATACTGATGCTAGGTCCCCACCTGCAGAGATTCTGAGGGACTCTGTCTAGGGATCAGCCAATTGGACTTATTATTTAAAAGTTTCGAGTCTGTGACAGGGTCTAGAGCCCCTGTTTTAGAGAGATTAAAATTATGAGTGCACTTTTAACTGATACATCATTTCTAAAAATAGACCAGAGATTTTTGTGTTATTTTAGTTACTCTTTTGTTATTATTTTTCATGATTCATTCTCTACTTCCTTTTTTTTAGTATCTTTTATATACAAAATGTTATGTGAGATACTATTTTGAATACAAAGAGAAATAAAATATCTCACAAGCGATCATCATATAGGCAGTGTATCTTGATACAAAGGAAAGAGAAAGGAGAAGCCACTTCCTGGTTGGGGCTAAATGAATTGATTTTATAGCTAAAGAGCTATTTATTTCTGTGGTAAACAAAACGAGGCCTCCATCTTTCTAACCTTCCTCTAGTCGTTAGGAAGTGACATTTTACCTGAGCCTTAGAAATTTTTCTAATGACAAGGATTATTTACTTAACTCTTTCAATATTTAGATGTTAAAGAAGGCTGCTTTTTAATACTGTGCCGCCTTTTATTTCTGTTTGAATACTACAGCAAACAACTTCTGTTTGTCCAGATTTACAATCAGGCTAATCAAATCCCATGTTCAGGGGTTGGCACAGTAGCTGGTCAGGCAGGCTTGTTTCTGAAAATGTGACAGCCACAAATGCTCAGAATCCATAAAACATGAGAAATTTAATGCTCCGTGTGTGTTTTTTTTTCATTCTAGGTTCAGATGAATGATCAGAAAAGCTATACTTTTTCGTAGGGCTTTTAAAGTGGTATTTGAAAAAGATCTTTAAATCCATTATCAGGGAGGAGGAAGGCCTGTAATGGCTACTGGTATTGACCTTGTTACTATGGAAACACCTTTTTAGTGGCTGTGTTTTAAAAATAAAACACAATTCAATTTCCTTTTTCATAACGCTTAGGGCCATAAATTCTGCTTTTTGATATGATTTCAAATATCTCCTGGTCCAATGACTCTCAGTTCTCTTTGGAAATAATGGTCGGTTTTATTGTATTTTCTAACCTTTTGCTTTCGAAGAACGGAGGTGGCAAAGCAATTTAATTGCTTTCCAGAAAGTGTACTAGTTTGGAAATGCAATCACACAGTCTTCCCATTCTTTTTCAAACTAAAATCAGAGACATCATTACCATGAAAACCTTCATTCTGTGGTTCTGTGATTCGTTAATATTCAATTCTTTACATGCAGAATAGAAATGATAGCATGCATTCCAAATTTACAACTATTTTCTCTTCATATGGTATCTCTTTTACAGCATTTTAAACAATAGTGTGTGTGGTTGGTGTTCCAAACATAAGTCCAAAAATGCAACTACACTTCCCTCAGGTATTTATGCATGTGAAATGGGCCTTCCCCAAAGATTCCGATACATACTAGTTTCTTTTCCCCTTTTTCATTCTAATTCTGAAATTCTACAATGTAACGCTATACATAAGAAAAAACTAGAGCAGCTTAAAGAAAGGATCAGGAAAGAAAATAGGTAAAGACAGAGGAATACTACTTATTTACTTATTTATTTATTTATTTTAAATATATCTTTACCACATATTTAAAAGAAAGAATAATTAGTTTTGTCAAATACTAGCCACAACATTTTTGATAATGTATAAATTATTGCTCTTTTTGTTGCCAGTGACAACCACCACAGGACCCTAACTCAAAGAATCAAAGAGAATTTATTGACTAACATTACTGTAAAGTTCAAGGGTAGTTCCGTTACGAGATTTGGTTGGATTTAGAAGCTCAGTCAATGAAACCAGACATAATGTCTCTTTTTTTTAATTTCCTGGCTTCACTTCCTGTTATGTCGCTAGCTTCTGACAGGCTTTCCCTGTGTTGTGAAAGACGGCAGCAGCAGTCTCAGCCTACTTCCATTCAAGTCAAAGTCCATATTAAAAGAAAGAGTTTTGTCTTATAAATGCTAACTTTACTTCCAGCTTCAATTCTGATTAGCTCTAATGAGGACCCATGATAATCCCAAACCCCATCATCATGGCCTATTTGAGTTGCTTGTGTTTAGATTACGTGCCCACCCTCAACGCTAAAGATAAGGTCAACCAAACTAAATCACATGGACTGAGAGTGGGAGAAAGGATGAACCCAACGGAAATTAAGGCAAACGATCCCAAGGGCAGACACTGCATGATGCAGGCTCCAGATTTCCACTTCAGATGATAAGACGTTACTGGTAACCTTCCAGAAATTCAATCAAATAATATGGATAGAAGCTAGGTTAGAGAGAATTAAGGTGAAAGCAACTGATAGAAAAGTAAATTTTGCAAATCCTCTTCTTCCCCCTTCTCATTTGTGTGTGAA